AACAGAGATGTAAGAATAATAATCAAATAAAGCGAAACAGATTTTATCTTTTAAAAAAACTAGCAAAAATTTCATACTATTTTAATACTATGAAATGATAAAATGGTGCTAAGAAGTGAAGACGAATTAAACTGATAAAAAGCCTCCAATAATAACGTTGCATCATGACCCTCTCCCAGGTATGTCACGGACTGGCGCAAAACGGCCTATATAAGGCCACTGTTTCTACGCTAAAAGTCAGTGTTGTGCAGTATTTTGTTGTGGTGGACCTTGAGCCCTCACCAAGGAGCCGACAATCGCGCCCGACAAGCTAGAACACCCAGTCGACGAGCCGCCGACCTACAACCCAACGATAAAAGAAGCTCAGTTTTTATCGCAAAAACTTGTAAACTGTGAAAGTTCGAGGAAATCAGAAGTTTAAAGGCCACAGATCGTCATGGCTCCCAAAAAACTACGGAAGCAGTTCTTCTAGAACATCGCTTCACCACTGGCTCAAGATTTAAAAAAAAAAAATGACAGTTTTAGAACTTCGCAATACCACCACATACCTATCACGATTCTGCTGATTTCGCGACATCAAAGCCGAGCTTGATGCGTGATATACAGCACTCGGAGTGTCTGCAATATAAGTACCGCTTTCAGTGGATGACGAGGATAAAGCCCTGCTTCGCTCGGCTCTCGATGCTAATGCTCCTTCCAAAAGTTGCGATCGTCCTCCTCCTGGACCAGCAGTTTGTGCATTAGTGGCATGATCGATATCTGAATCCTCCGACGAATCTGAGCCACTTTCTGGCAATGCTGCCAATTTCTGAAAATTTTTTTCTTCGACTTCAACTGCAATGGCAAAGGTTAGAATATACTGTACTGAATGTAACAAATATTCTCAGTACAATAATATTCCAAAATTTAAATTCCATTTATATTTATTCTTTGCGAGAATTTGAAGCAATTAAAATGTTTTGAGCGGTGGCGCGTGCCAACAGCAACCACTCATTGGCATGGCTGCCGACAGATTTGCCTTCTGGAAGTTATACCTAGAAACAAACTCACATTTTTCCTCACACTGTCTGTGTTTACAGCTAAGGGATGAAGCGCAAGCAGACCATTCTGCATATCCCTGGTACATGACTGTCCAACTTTGTACCACATTAACTAGCCAACTATCTTCCCCACCACCCACCATTCACTATAAAATTCTATCCTTTCAGTCTCAAAAAACATGGAATTCAGCGTGAATTCCCTTTGATTTGCATAGCCCCTTACTTTACGAGG